TTAAGTTCGAGCTAGAGCAATAAGACAACAAGAGGAGATCAAAGGGATACAAATAGGAAAAGAAGAAGTCAAGCTTTCACTATTTGCAGATGACATATTTTACATACGTGACCCAAAAAACTCCACAAGGGAACTCCTAGAGCCGATGAACACCTTCAGTAAAGTGGCAGGATACAAGGTAAACTAAAAAAAATCAGTGGCCCTATTATATACAGATGATGAAGTGACTGAGAAAGAAGTCAGAGAAACCTCACCGTTTACAATTGCCATAAACAGCATCAAATATCTGGGGATAATGTTAACCAAAGAAGTGAAAGACCTATATATCAAGAAATTTGAGTCTTTAAAGAAAGAAATCAAAGAGGATACCAGAAAATGGAAAAATCTCCCATGCTGTTGGATTGGTAGGATCAACATAATGAAAAAAGGCAATCTTGCCAAAAGCAGTCTAGAGATTCAATGTAATCCCTATCAAAATTCCATCACAATTCTTCAAGGACCTGGAAAGAACATTAATCAACTTTATATGGAAAAATAAAAGGCCCAGGATACCCAAAACAATCCTATACAATAAAGGAACTTCAGGAGGCATCACCATACCTGACTTCAAGTTCTATTATAGAGCTATAGTCCTGAAAACAGCTTGGTATTGACACAAAAATAGGCAGGTAGACCAATGGTACCCAATTGAAAACCCTGATTTTAACCCACACACCTATGAACACTTTATTTTTGACAAAGAAGCTGAAACTATACAATGGAAAAAAGAAAGCATCTTCAACAAATGGTGCTGGCATATGCAGAAGACTGCAGATAGATCCATGTTTATCGCCTTGTACAAAACTTTGAGATACCATCTTACTCCTGTCAGAATGGCTAAAATCAAAAACACCGAAGACAATTTATGCTGGAGAGGATGTGGAGAGAGGGGAACACTCCTCCACTGCTGGTGGGAGTGCCAACTCGTACAGCCACTTTGGAATTCAGTATGGAGATTCCTCAGGAAAATGGGAATCAATCTACCACAAGACCCAGCAATTCCACTCTTAGGCATGTATCCAAAAGAGGCAAATTCATACAACAAGGGCATCTGCTCCACTATGTCCATAGCAGCATTATTTGTAATAGCCAGAACCTGGAAGCAACCTAGATGCCCCTCACCTGAAGAGTGGATAGAGAAAATGTGGTACATTTACACAATGGAGTATTACTCAGTAGAAAAAAACAATGGAATCTTGAAATTCGAAGGTAAATGGGTAGCACTGGAAGAAACCATCCTGAGTGAGGTAACCCAGTCACAAAAAGACAAACATGGTATGTACTCACTCATATATGGATTTTAGACATGGATCAGGAGAGTGCCAGTCTGCACTTCCAATGACAGAGAGTCTGGGAAACAGGAAAGAACATAAAAGATATGCATGGTACCCAAGAGAAGAGAAATGAGGTAAGATCCTCTGAAAAGATGGGGAACACAGCGAGGGGTGGGGGGAGGAGGGGTACCTGGGAAATAGAGAGGGGGAGAAGAGGAAGAGAGAGTAGGTCATGGGGGAACAGGAAGGTTGACTAAGGAGGTATGAGAGGGGGACAAGGGAATCATAGTTTAGAAGACAGATCAGGCACTATTGTGACCTCTAGTGATTTAAAGGGATGACACCAATTGGCAAGCTAAGCAATAGTGGAGAGACCACCCCGAATGCCCATTCCTGATAACAAACTTGATGTCTATAACCATCCTGGAGCCTTCATCCAGTGACTGATGGAAGCAGAGGCAAACACCCACAGTTAAACACTGAACTGAACCCAAGGAACCCAGCGACAGAGAGAGAGAAGCAATGAGCAAATTGGCAACGAATGGGTTGGCAAAACCAGCAGAGACAGCTGATCCAAACAGTGGAGAGCTCTTGGACCCCAGACCGACAGCGTGGTGGCCAGCATGGGACTGATCTGCATCCCTGAATGTGAGAGTCAGTGAGGAGGCTTGGGCATCCTATGGGGTTCTGAGCAGTGGATCAGTATTTATCCCTCGAATAATAACAGACATTGTGTGTCCATAAGACAAAGAGGGATGCTCTCTCAGCCTGGACTCTTAGGGGAGTGCCTGGACCCTACCCTGAGTGAAATGACAGACTCTAGATATCCCCTATGTGGAAGGAATTGGCAATAGGGTGGGAGGATGGTGAGGGGTGCGGGAGAAGGGGAGGGAGAGGGAACTGGGATTGACATGTAAAACAGGCATTTAAAATTAAAATAAAAAACATATATAAATAAAAAAGAACAACATGTCTGCCACAGCATTCAATAAAGAGCATATTGTTCAAACTGCAAAAATAAAATAAAATAAAATTGCATGCTTAAAAAAAAGATATTCACTAACCCCACATCTGACAGAGGACTGATCTCCAAAATTTACAAAGAACTCCAGAAGCAAGTCTCCAAAACACCAAAGGATCCAATTGAAAAGTGGGTTACAGAACTAAATAGAGAATTCTCAATAGAGGAGTTTAAAATGGCTGAGAGACACTTGAGAAAGTATTCAACATCATTAGCCATTATGGAAATGCAAATCAAAGCAACTCTGAGATATCATCTTACTCCTGTCAGAATGGCTAAAGTCAAAAACACCAATGACAGTTTATGCTGGAGAGGATGTGGAGAAAGGGGAACACTCCTTCACTGCTGGTGGGAGTGCCAATTTGTACAGCCACTATGGAAATCAGTATGGAGATTCCTCAGGAAAATGGGACTTATTCTTCCACAAGACCCAGCAATTCCACTCTTAGGCATATACCCAAAAGACACCCATTCACACAACAAGTATGTATGTTCCACTATGTTCATAGCAAGATTATATGTAATATCTAGAGATCATGGAAGCTACCTAGATGCCCCACAACTGAAGAGTGGATAGAGAAAATGTGGTACATTTACACAATGGAGTACTACTACTCAGCAGAAAAAAAATGGAAGCTTGAAATTTGCAGGCAAATGGAAGGCACTAGAGGAAACCATCCTGAGTGAGGTAACCCAGACACAAAAAGACAAACATTGTATGTACTCACTCATATATGGATTTTAGATATGGATTAGGGGAGTTTCAGCCTACAATCCCAGTGCCAGTGAGTCTTGGAGACAGGGAGGTTCCCAAGAGAGATGCATGATACCCCAGAGAAGTGGAATTAGGCAAGATCTCCTGAGCAGATTGGGAACATCGGGGGAGGGGTGAGGGGGATAAGAGGAGAGGAGAAGAAGGTATGGGGGATCAGGAAGGTTGAATCGAGGTAAGAATAAAAGAGAGCAGGCTGAGAGATACCATAATAGATTGAGTCATTATAGGCTTGAGAAGAGAGATGACACTAGTGAGATCTCCAGAGATCTACAAGGATAACACCAACTGGCAAACTAAGCAATAGTGGAGAGACTACATTAAATGCCCCTCCTTGATGGTAAGGCTGATGACTACCTTATATGCCATCCTAGAACCTTCATCCAGTGACTGATGGAAGCAGAGACAGATACCCACAGCTAAACACTGAACTGAACTCCTGGAACCTAGTGACAGAGATGGAGGAGTGATGAGCAAAGGGGTCAAGACCATGATGGTGAAACCCACAAAGACAGCTGACCAGATAAGGGGGAGCTCTTGAATCCCAGACTTATGGTTGAGAGGCCAACAGGGGACTGATCCAGACTCCATGAATGTAGTGTAGTGAGGAGGCCACAGAAATCACTGGGGCCTTGGATAGTAGATCAGTGTTTACCATGGTTTATGGATGATCTTTGGGAACCCATTCCAAATAGAGCGATGCTCTCTCAGTCTGGAAACAGGGGAAGGGCCTAGGTCCTGCCCTGGATGAAATGACAGACGTTAGAGATCCCCCCAAGGAGGGCCTCACCCTCCCTGGGGAATGATGTGGGGATTGGGTGGGGGGCTGGGGAGCTTGTGCAGGTACAGAGGAGGAGGGGTGGGAGAGGGAGCTTGGATTGACATGTGAAGCATTTATGTTTCTAATTTAAATAAAAACATTACAAAAAATAGAAAATCTAAGCAAATCAATTGGTGGAATAGAAACTGTCATTCCTATTTTCACGGTTTCCTAGAATGTGCACATTTCTAAAGAAACCTATGCATGACATTTTATAATTAAAGACAGCGTGAACGCAAACCTTAAACAACTATTTGTAACTGGAAGGAGATATAGCTTGGTGGTGGTGTAATTAATTAACATGTGTGAGGCACTGAGCTCACTCCCCACTACCACAAAATATCTGTATGTAGAAGATGAAGAACAATGGATATGTCCATTTTGTAGCTAGTCCTTACTCTATATTCCACCTTGAGACAATGATGTGCAACATATAATGTATACTGACGTATTTTTGGTGAACAAATATCTTCTTTGAGACAAAGCTTACACTTCACATTAGCACTATGAAGCATCTTATTTAGATCTATTGACAACTCAAATCTTTGGATGTAGCAATAGCGAAAATGAGAAATTCACACTGAGGGATCCCACTGATTCATTTAGTAAAAAGGAAGGCAAAGTCCTCCAGTCATTAGACACATAGATAATGACATTGCCATTGCCATTGTCCATGCAGAAGGTTTGAGGGACCCTGGATCTCCTTGCCAGGAAACCTTCCCTACCAGCTATCCACTGTTCCACAGTCTCTGTGGAATGTACTTTCTAACTGGGTGGAGGCAGTATAGCTGCTCTACTAGGGCAGTTTCATCAGCAAGATAGGTTTTAAATAGATGGTGGCTTGGGAAAAACCCTGTCCATCCCGTCTTCCTTGACAAGGCAGGTCTGAGGCAGTGGACTGCACAAACAATGTGCTTTGAAACAGAACGAAAGCAGTGGAAAATGCTGTTGTGTCAAACAAATAAGATAGCTGGGCAGACTTTTATGCTTGGATCTGAAATCCAAAAAGAGGAGGTATTTATTTCTTAAAGACCCAATTGGAAAGCCTCCTTACAACTTCATTTAAATTTTTACCTTATTGTTTCCTGGGTGAAGTTATCCATTTGGAAGATGGCAGAATTATAAACGCACTACAAAGCAGCAGGAAATGTTGACCATAGAGGTCATCACATGAAGAGGGAAGTACCTTGGATAAAAGAAATACTATTAAGCAGATATTTCAGTTCAGAACAAGGCTGGCTGATAGGCTCTCACAAACTTTGGATTATCTGGAGAGTCATTTATACACTGGAGGAGTATTAGCCCATTTGATATTCCTGTCCCTCCAAAAATACCCATCCAATCATTATACCCATTCTGTAGATAAGGAAAAAACACAGAGAGGCAAATTCACACAGTCATCTTCAAGGAGCTACACGGACGGCAGTGCAGCTCCCTGATTTCCTGTAGTCACACATGTGCCTTCCAGACAGTTATGATATTCAGCAGGACTTACACACACTTAATCACAAGTCAATGGCCTTCTCTGGCATTCTATGTCCTGTAAAACTGAATGTGATTAATAAAAACCACCTAGAAGATATAAAAGACTTACCTCTTTATCTTTTCTATTAAGTCTAAATGTTAGTGACTTCCAACCATAAGAAAGATAATAACTGTAAACATTCTCATGTTTCCATGGATACCAGGGCTTAGCTGGCAGACTCGGAACAATGAACACATTCTGAAATACAAGAATGTACTGTACAGTATCTCTTTAACACGTTGATAAGTCTTTGCAGAAATGAAATTTATTTTCGAAGTCATAAATCAAATAGCTACTATCATTTATGAAATCCATAACGAATGTTTAAAAACATACCCTGGGCAGATTAAATGACTGAGTGGATAAAAGCACCTGCCTAAAATTTTGATAATCAGGAACTCACATGGTGAAAAGTTGAATAGACTCTACAGAGTTGTCCTCTGACTTCATGTGTGTGTCTTGGTGTGTGTGAAAAAGAAAACAAAGAAGCTGTTTAAAAAGAAATCCCCATGTCCCTGTGTTAATCTCACTGATTGAGAGTAAGACCACTACCACAATTTAAAGCCAAATTTGAAGTAAGCTTTAATTAAACACTGGCTAGGTGGATGGGCTCTGGCCAGGTTCATTTCTGGGTTTCCAAATGATGGGCCTAATTCAAGTTTGCAGCAGGTCCAACCAAGGGCATGCATACCTCCTGATGTACCTCCATCTTAAACCCAGTCAGGGGTAAGCATACATTCTAACGTATTTCCTGCCTGTGAGGCTCCTGCCCACAATGTGAGCAAGCACATCCAGTGCAGATTGATCAAATAAAATTTTTAAGGGGAGTCAAAAACATGCGGCTTGTTATCTGCCATAAACAACAGCCTCCAGAATCTCAGGAACTATCTGTTGTTGAGCAAGAGGCTTACAGATCAGACATTTTTGTTTCATGGGTGGATCTCTTAAGCATAGTAATTGAAACTTAAAATGTAATTTTGGCTCCCATACTTGGTTGTTAAGATTTTTCAGCATGTGCATGTGTTTCTCAAAGCTTGATGACCTGAGTGTTATCCCCAGACTCTACATAAAAGTGGAAAGAGAATCAACTTTAAGAATTTGTCTTCGACCTCCACATGCAATCTGTGGCATGCGCATGCCCATGCACAATGATTAATGTTTAAAAAGAAAAAACCCACAGTGGATAGAAAGATGCCCTGCTATAAAAGTGCAAAAATTAGGGTAACCTGGCCACCCTGAATTCTTTGAGACACGGAACCATGGTTAGATAATGATGGTTTACAGTTCCTAACCTGTTGTAGGGATTTTTTGGTTTTGTTGCTGCAAACGTAAGTCTATTTCTTCTCCTTTCTGTATTTTACTTTCAATGTGGCTGTGACCTGGTTATGTTAAATGTTGTATATACATACTATTTTGGTTCTTCCTACATACAAAATATGTATGTGAGAAACTCCCACAGTATAAGAGGTACAAAGGTCTTTGTGCTCACATATAAGCCCTAGGGGAACCTGGAATGTTAAGCACACAGAGTTGTTACTTCAAGGAAAGGAATGTAATACATTATCTTCCCAGATGTCTAGGAAAGGCAATACTCATTAGCCTGGTGACCTATGCTCTATCAGTTTTGTGGGTAGTGACTTTCCCAGCACTATATACCCCCCCTCAGACTCTCATCATAAATTTGTTTTTCTCAGTCAACTCGTAGAATCTATCTTTATGGATATAGTCACATCTGACCTGTATTTAGCTTACTTTGTTCCTCAAGGAGATTTATGTATGCTTTGTTCTTCACATGTGATAGAGTTAATTGTCACCAGAACAATGTTCACCAAATTATGTTGTGCTTAAATATGTCTAAAACTAAGAGTCAGACTCCAGAAGTTTGAACCAACACTTAATACTGAGATCACGTTGACCTGAACTGCCTGCTTGCTTCCCAAAGGCCTGTGAAGGTGGCAAGGAACCCCATACCATAAGAACATATTCAAAATAAACCAGAGATATAAGTGAGCATAGACGTTATAGAAAATGTGGCTTCCTATTTTACAGTTTCCTTCTTTACCCTTCATATTTCATGTGTGGTATAATTTCCAAAGAAGAAAATCCATATGTTTGAAGCACATAACTCAATGAATTAACACAAATTCATGCACCCCTGTAATCTACATGGAGGTCAAGACGTAAAATATTTCTGTTAGTGGTTGTGTTGTGGAGTATTCACTCAAGAAGACTGCTTGGAGCTAGATTTAAGTCAATAGAAAATCTTTATCAGTCAGCTAGTGGGTTTTCAAGATCCCAGTTTATCCCAAGCCTTTCTCAGGGTGAGCTTTTAAACAGAAAAAAAATGTTCTGGGTTGACATACTTCAGTTAACAATAACAATTAGCCAGAAGCAGAACTATAGAAGCTAAAAAGCAAAGTTAGTACAGTTAGAGACTGTGCCAGAACCATGGACTTTGATGGGTTAGGCCTTTGTTTTAGTTCTGGCAAGTGGTGCTGTCTATGTGCTGAGTTTTGCAGCCTGAATGACACTTTCATCATGGAGTCAGTTGTGCTAAGGTCTTGGGGGCCTTCTGAGGTCTGTGGCTCTGTTACAGTTGGAGGTATTGCTAACTGATAGAACCCTTCATTCACAAGTCCTTAAGTTCAATCCCTAACAGTCAAACTAAACAATACCAACTACAAAACAAGGAAAAACCCTACCACACACAACTATTTTCCTATGAGCTGTTCTAGAAGTCCTGTGTGTAGCTTCATAGGGAAGCCAAAGGAATGGTCCTAAATTTAGATCAGAGGGACTGAATGATGTTCAGAAACAAGGCACAGATACTTTTTAGCACTCGAGAAATAAGTAAGGAATTTTTAAAGAGGGATCTGTTTTTTCCAGTTATTCATGTTTGTGAACTGAGGACTGCAGACTATATGCAAGAAAACAAGTACACTTATGGAAGAACACTGTATTTCTAAAACAAGTACACTTATGGAAGAACACTGTATTTCTAAAATCTCCACCAAGGCAGACTTTCACTCACAACTCAGATCTCAAAGCCAAAAGTCTAGAGTGTTTTGTGATATTTCAGTGGAGTAGTTGATAGGTTTTATATTCTGTATTATAACAGTACATAAGTAATTCATTTTGTCATAATCTGCAAATACACAGTTAACAGTTTTTTTGGTCTAAGTTAACCTGCAGCTTCACCTGTAAGAATGCAGATTGATAACAGCAGACACTAAGCAACTTCAGCACCCTTTGGATGAGTCCAGAAGTTCACATAGATAGCAGTTACGGAGAGTAAAGTTGATAAGGAGAAGGGCACAAATAGCAGGAATCCTAAGGATGATACTGGCAATCTGACCAGAGGGACAAGAATGAACTCTAGTAAAAGGGAAATGGCTCAGTGAGTGGGTAAAGGCACTTGCCAGCAAGTCTGATGAACTAAGTTCAATACTGGGACACAGAAGATTGAAAGAAGAAAATTTTCTTCTGAAAGTTGTCCTCTGACTTCCATATGCAGGCAATGGCACAGACTCACACACACACACACACGTTTGCACACAGGCATGTACACACATGTGTACACACACACACAAAATGATATAAAAACAAAATAAACAATGAACTGTTAAATGATCAGCTAAGAGCAGATGAGTGACTCTCCTGCCAGATGGACTTTTTGGACTGAACATTTTTTGACCAATGTATCCATTTCTTGTGTCGTATCTTCAATGCCCCAGATTCATTCTTCCATATCCTGTATTCTGTTAGTGAAGCTTGCCTCTGTAGTTCCTTTTTGAATTTCTACATTTTTCATTTCCAGGATTCCCTCAATGTGTGTTTTCTTTATTGCTTCTCTTTCCATTTTCAGGTATTGAACAGTTTTGTTCATTTCCTTCAATTGTTTGTGCTTTCCTGTCTCTCTTTAAGGGGTTCATTCATTTCCTCCTATTGTTTGTGTTTTTTCTAGATTTCTTTAAGGAATTTATTTATTCATTTCCTCTTTAAGGACTTCTACCATATCCATATATTTGTACTGAAGGTCTTTTTCTTGGGCTTCAGTTATGCAGGGGCTGCTACAATAGGGTAGCTGGGTTCTGGTGGAAACATGCCCCGGTTGTTATTGATTGTGTTCTTAGGCTGGCTTCCACGCATCTGGGCTTGGGGCGATTATAGGTCTAGGTGAGGATTTTTGGGTTCGTTTTTATTGGGTGGGTGTTTTGTTCCTTGGTTTCTGTTTCCGCTCTGTATTTTCAGAGAGTGTGATGGCTGTGTGTTGCCTGTTTCACTACACTTCTTGGCTGGTATGCTCGCAGGGAGTGCCTGCTGGTGTTGGAGGCTGGGATGCAGCAACAAGTGGGGTGAGGGAGGTCAGGAGGTGACATGTGCAAGGGTAAGGAAGGCTGGTGATCTGTTGTAGCACAAGGGAGGAGACTGAGGGATTGGGTCTAGAGGAATAGAGCGTGGAGAAGGTCTATGGGTAGCCCAGCCTGTGGCTGAACAGGGGGAGTCTGCCTGAGCTGGGGGTGGGGATACAGCAATGAATTGGGGGAGAGAGGCTTGGAGGGGACGGTCTATGGGATTCACCGGAATTGTGGGTGGTGTTGTGTGTGTGTGTGGGGGGGGTTGTAACTGTTGTTCTGTTGTAGCACTAGGGAATAGCCTGAGAGACTGGATCTAGGGCAGTGGTTCTCAACCTGTGGGTTGTGACCCCTCTGAGAGTAGACCAACCCTTTCACGGGTGTCACCTCAAATCACCACAAAATACAGATATTTACATTATGATTCATAACAGTAGCAAAATTACAGTTAAGGAGTAGCAATGAAACAATTTTTTAGCTGGGCCGTCACGACAACATGAGGCACTGTATTAAAGGGTCACAGCATTAGGAAGGCTGAGAACTGGTCTAGGGAAGCAGAGAAAGTGGAGAAGGTCTGCAGGTAGGCTTCCTGGATTTTCAATGAAATACTTTTAAAAGAAAAAATAAATAAAACAATTATTTGGCAACAACAACAACAAAACAAATTCTTCTATATCTCGGTTGTCTGATACTCCATCTTAAGTAGTGACCTGCTAACCATGAGTCAGGCACAGAGTATTTATTTTCCAGTACACCAACAACTCCACCTACAGATTTCTCTGGATCATGTCTGGAAGCTAGTTCTAAAACTAGTCTCCAGTCAGGTGGCCTGAGAAAATTCTAACCAATGTAAACCTGAAATTATGGACATGTAGGTAACTAGCGAGTTGTAAAACAGCTTGCCCGGTGAAGGTTCGTCTGGAAGACACAGCTAACTGCTTAAGCCTTACTGGGATACTGAAATGTTCAGAGACCTTTGGAAATTTAAAGGACTTAGTATTTGCTTCCTGCTGAAGCCTTTTAAATGACATATGCATGAAATACAGGGAGTCCCTGTCTCAAAAGAACAAAATAGTTGTATATACATACAGTTTAATACTCAGGATGCAATTATCATGAAGCAAAACAGTCACTGCCAAACTGTATCACTAGCATTTACTTTTTTTTTGAGACATGGTCTCATCATGCAATCCTGGAACTTACCATGAAGACCAGGCTGGCCTCAAACTCACACAGAACTACCTGCCTCTGCCTCCCAAGTGCTGAGATTAAAGGAATATGCCATCACTCCAAGATCCACTAGCATTCACTTTTGAAAATGAAAACCACATTACACCAAATGGTTACCCTCGAAAGCATATACATACAAATAACATTATATGGACCAAGCAGGTTTTACACACACACAAATAAAATAAGTACAATTTCAAAAAATAACACGATCAATAAGAGGGAAATCATACCTGGTACTAGGAACCCAGTCAACTACCCAGCATTAGTAAAACATAGACCTTAGAGGAGAACCTACAACCACCACTTTACTAAAACAGCATAATCCCTAACTACACTCTATTTGCCCTTATACTCAGAGACAAATGTATGTCTCATCCTTCATCAAGGAAACTTGTCTTTGCAACAGATCCAGATCATTACAGAAAACCACACTCAATCAAAATATAGAGCTGTGGAGCTCAGCCCCAATTGACACATCTACAAGTCAATCCCTGCACCTAAGGCTCAGTGATAACTGCAGAAGAGGAAAAAAGACTGGAAGAGCCAGAGGACCAGGGAGTTTGCTGTGAGACTGTGTCTCCTAGAAATGTCAGAAGCGACATCCATAAAGTCTCATCAACCTGACTGCCTAAATGTGAGCTGAGCAAGGACAACAGTAGATGTGTTACCATAGACGGTGGAGACTCTTGAATTCTCAACCTGACTGACACAAAGAACTACAGGCAACCAAGGAATGCTGAGAGAGGGAGAAATCGTCTTCCCTAGAGAAGGGCACATCAACTTGCTATCCAATACCAAATGGTCAGCCCTGAAAACATACATACAAGAAACATTATTCAGACTGAAAAGGGGGTATTTATAAACATAAATATATGTACATACACTTACATATATGCATATAACAACAACTAAGGAAAAAAGAGACCATGAATTTGAAAGAGAACTGGAATGGGAGGGTTTAGAAGGAGGAGAGGAGGGATTACATAATTAATTATATTATGATCTCAAAAATAAAAGATAATTTTCAAAATAAAAAGCACATACAGGGTTCGTGAGATGTCCTTGTGGGCAAAGGCACCTGTCATGAAGCCTGGCAACCTAAATTTATACTCAGGATTCACATGGTGGCAGGAGAACCAATTCCCACAAGTTGTTCTCTGACACATGTGCTGTGACATATGTGCATCTACACACACAAATGTAACAAAAATTTAAAAGCCCACATTGTGCAGGCAAAAATTCTTCCCCTGAATTTCTGTGCCTTCTGAAGAGCTCTTACGTAGCACTTTATCCTATCTACACAATCAAATGAGGTGAACAGCACCTGCCTGCTTATTTCATTTGCTTCTAGCTTCAGGAAGTGGTAAGCCCATGATTCTTCAGCTTAGAACACTCAAATTTCATGTTGCTTCTTATTATAAACAAAGCACCCCTCTGGCATTGAAGGTGTCTGGGTGCTTTTCTTTGTCCCATGTGATTCTTTGAGAAGTATAGACATCCCAGAGTAGGTTATATGAACCCCTTCCTATTACATAACCTTCCTTCCTGCTGTGTTTCTTTTTTTTTTTTTCATTTTAAAACCCAGTTTATTTATTTATTTTTCTCTTTTTTTTTATTAATATTTTTTTTATTTTCCATTTTAAATTTAGATAAGAAACAAGGTTGCTTCACAAGTCAGTACGAGGTCCCTCTCCCTTTCCCTCCCCTCCTCCCGTGCCCTCCCCCCATCCCCCCCCCCGTTATCCCCTCATTCCCCCAGGGAGGGTGAGGCCCTCCATGGGGGTGTCCATAGTCTGTCATTTCATATAGGGCAGGGCCTAGACCCTTCCCCAAGAGTTCAGGGTGAGAGTGCACCTCACATTGTTCAATGGGAGTCCAAAGTCCGTGTGTATACTTGGGAT